TACAGATACACACACACACGCACACAGATACACACAGAGACACACACACACACACACACACAGATACACACAGAGATACACTCACATTAACATGCATACAGATACACACACACACGCACACAGATACACACAGACACACACACACAGATACACACAGAGATACACTCACATTAACATGCACACAGATACACACAGAGATACACTCACATTAACACGCACACAGATACACACAGAGACACACACACAGATACACACACACACGCACACACACATACAGATACACACAGAGACACACACACACAGATACACACACATTAACATGCATACAGATACACACACACACGCACACAGATACACACAGTACACACACACACACAGATACACACAGATACACACAGAGACACACACACACAAACACACACACATTAACACGCATACAGATACGCACACACACACAGAGACACACACACACACACAGATACAGGTTAAAGCTCAGAGTCCATAATATCTGACAATAACAAAGCTCAGTCACACAGCAGGAACTGTCAACCCAAGAACAAAAGACTGGAACTCACTGACAACCAACTCTAAAAACACTACAAACTCACTAAAAAAAAAACACTCAAACTAAAAACACTACAAACTCTAAAAACACTACAAACACTACAAACTCTAAAAACACTACAAACTCTAAAAACACTACAAACACTACAAACTCTAAAAACACTACAAACTCTAAAAACACTACAAACACTACAAACTCTAAAAACACTACAAACACTACAAACTCTAAAAACACTACAAACTCTAAAAACACTACAAACACTACAAACTCTAAAAACACTACAAACTCTAAAAACACTACAAACTCTAAAAACACTACAAACTACAAACTCAAACACTACAAACAAAACTCTAAAAACACTACAAACACTACAAACTAAAACTCTAAAACACTAAAACACTACAAACACTACAAACTCTAAAAACACTACAAACACTACAAACTCTAAAAACACTACAAACACTACAAACTTCTAAAACACTACAACACTACAAACTCTAAAAAACACTACAAACACTACAAAACTCTAAAAACACTACAACACTACTAAAACACTACAAACTCTAAAAAACTACACTCAAACTCTAAACACTACAACTAACAAACTCTAAAAACTCAAACAAACACTACAAACACTACAAACTCTAAAAACACTACAAACACTACAAACTCTAAAAACACTAAACACTACAAACTAAAAACACTAAAACACAAACTAAAAACTACAAACTCTAAAACACTACAAACACTAAACAAACACTACAAACACTACAAACTCTAAAAACACTACAAACTCTAAAAACACTACAAACACTACAAACACTACAAACACTACAAACTCTACAAACTCTACAAACTCTACAAACTCTACAAACACTACAAACTCTACAAACACTGGAGAAATGAGCAGAGGATCAGCCCAGAAACAGGCAGCACAGGTCTCCAGGCAGATGGAGATCAATTCAACACAACATCAGTAAAATAAAAACCATCTTTGTTGTGGGATCAGTGAAGCTGCGTTCAGAGCGCGACGTCAGCGCCTCCAGTTTACACGTGACGTCTGTGTGGATGCGAGTCTAAGGCGTCCTGAGCTCAGGTGTCGACACCCTGGATCCTACCCATAACCCTCAATCAATCAATCAATCAATCAATCAGGGACGAGTATCCAGAGACATAACGACCTTATTACCCAGAAGAAGAAGAAGAAAGAAAAAAACCCGGAACCACAAACACCAGAACAAGAAACTTTACGCCGCATCATTAACGGAGGATAAATATAAACACACCACAACCGCCGATCTCCTCCACTCATGAGTTTATGTCATATCAGGTTCACTCTTTTTCACTCACAAAATGTCCAAACTTTTCCATGACTTTCCAGCACCTACATGTGCAGAATTGATCACAGTTTTAGTGTAAATCTGAAACGTGAACTCTTTCCTCTCACCTTCTGGTTTGGGATTATAGTTTTTGAACATTTTAAATCCTGTCAGTGTTTTTATTGTCGTCTCTGTTAAACAAAAGACTCAGATGTTCACAAAGAATCAGAACAACTGAACACAACACTGGAGCTGAGGGAAACACACACTAAAACTCCAGGACTTTTCCAAAACTTTCTTTGAATTTACAAAATTCCATGACTTTTCCAGGACTTCCATGACCGTGGGAACCTTGTAATAAATAAACTTAAGTCACTCTCTGGGTAAACAAGGCCACGGCATCGCTGCGTCTGAACTCAAACGTGAAGGCTCCACCTCGAGGCGTCCAGGGAGTTTGAGACGCCGCGTCTGAACGCACATTTAGACTTTTACACATGACTCTTCATCAAGACGACAAAACGATAAAAAAGTGGAGTGTTTTAAATGTGAGGGTCAGAGTGTGTGTGTGTGTGTGCGCGTGTGTGTGCGCGTGTGTGTGTGTGTGAAGGAGAAATACCTTTAATGTTGTTGAGGACGTCTCTGAGCTGAGCGAAGCTGTTCAGGAGAGGATCCTGCTCTTCATCCTAAAACACAAACACGTGAGTTTGATCAAACATCTCCACACGTCCATGGTCTTTAAAAGTTCTTTAAAGTTCTTTAAAGTTCTTGAAGGTTGTTGAAGGTTCTGACCAGAGGCGTGTGCGTGTTCCAGCGGGAGTTCCTCTTGATGGCTCCGACCACCAGCCCCACCTCCCCCTGAACGATGTACACGCTCCTCTCCATCATCTGAAACACAAGCACCGGGTTTAAGACCAGACCAGGGACTAAACCTGGGACCGGACCAGGGACCAGACCAGGGACTAAACAAGGACTAAACCAGGGACCAGACCAGGGACCAGAACAGGACTAAACCAGGGACCAGACCAGAGACTAAACCAGGGACCAGACCAGGGACTAAACCAGAACTGAACCAGGAACTAAACCAGGATTAAAACAGGGACTAAACCGTGAACTAAACCAGGTCTAAACAAGAGACTGAAACAGGACTGAACCAGGGTTTAAACTAGATCTAAACCAGACCTAAACCAGTTCTAAAACAGGCATGAACCAGGGAGTAAACCAGGCCGAAACTAGGACTAAACTAGGACTAAACTGGAGAGTAAACCAGGGACTGAGCTAGATCTAAATGAGACCTAAACCAGGTGTAAAACCAGGACAGAAGGAGGACTGAACCAGGACCAGCGCAGATCTAAACCAGGACTATTCCAGGTCTAATAAATCACATTATACAGTGAATAAATTCCACATGAATCGTTTGAACTTGATCTCAGACAGATTTAAAAGACAAACACGCTGAGACGATCCTGGGACGACTCTTCAGATTAAAGTCGAGGCTCAAACAGACGTAAGTGCAGGATGAGTCCGGGTTTAAGGCCAAAGTGAGACCGCAGCTCCCAGTTTGACAAACAGATCACAAAAAGATGAGACTCAAGAGATTTGACGAGAGGAGAAGACGAGAAGCCGAGAAGTCGAGGAGACGAGGAGAAGACGGCGTGTTTGGACAGAGGAGCTTTAAACAGAAGAAGAGATTAAATAAACTGTATAATATGGACTATAATGTATTATTCAAGAGCTGCTCTCCATCTCATCATCTCCTCTGACCATCTCCTCTGCTCCTCTGCTCCATCTGTTCCTCTGCTCCTCTGACAATCTCCTGTGCTTCTCTCCTCTATTCCTCTGCATCATCTGCTTCATCTCACCATCTCCTCTGCATCATCTGACCAGCCAGTCCCATCTACATTCTGTTTGAATCCACATGTTTCTGGAGTTCCGGGACCAGAGCGTGAAAAACCTCTGTCCAAATCTGAGACGTCCAACCACAGCTGCTCCCTCGTCTCACGTGTCCCTCAAATGCAGAAGAAATCCACAAAACTCATTCAGAACAAAAACTCCGCCACTTCTTTTACCAGAGAGAAGTCAGAGTTTGGAGCTTCTATTGTTGATTGATTAAAAACCCGTTCTGTTTCTCTCGGTCCTTCAGTAGATGTTTCTGTTTCACATGTGAACTAGAGAAGCACCGACACACTTTTCCAGCACATACAGTTGGATTTGTGTCTCTCAGAGTCGTGTGTCGGTGCTGCTCTTCCTCGTCTCCAGCAGCAGCAGAGACGGACAGAAGCTCCTCCCACACTCACCTGCTCTTTATACTCACACTGACCTCCAACACATCAAACATCAAACTACATCATATTAAACTACGTCACATCAAACTACGTCACATTACAGAGAAATCGTGTTTTTATCATGAGTCGCGTCGCAGGTGTGTGTGTAACCCAGGTTAAAATATACAAATCTAGTCAATAGCGAATATTCCAACTGCGACGGGTCACTAAACGCATCGCGCTCACGCTCGCACTTTCAATAAGTCACCTGCTCCCCTCCCTCCATACACACCCGGGAGTGAGGCGAGACAGGACGGCGGCGCAGGAGCCCTTACCACTACTATCCGATGCTGAAAAGACCGTATTAAATGATAACACAAGGGAATTGGCCGGGTGATTCCGGTTGAGAAAACCATCCCGATGGCGAGCTGAACCCAGGAACTTTGCCTACAACTTATGACACTTCAAACAGCTTCTACGGTCGGGTTAGGGGCTGTGGCAGCCAGTCCGCTCCCGCATTTCACCTACTCAACCCGCGTTTGGACAATTACACACACACACCCCCTAAAAGACTATATGTACACTTCAACAAATGTATTAACCAAACTTGAGAAAACTGCGGATCATTGTAAATATTGTAAATATTGTATATATATATTTCTTTTTCACTGTTCAATATATAGCACCAACCATAGCTCTGCAGTTTCTTGTGTTTTTTACTGCTTCCCTACCTCCCAGAGAGCCGCCGCCGCCTTCTGTTTCTAGCCCTACACCTACACCAACTCCACCCCTTTGTCCCTTGCATACACCTTTTAGATATGCTACATGTGTACGAGCTCATTGAATTAAAGCAGATGTAAAAACAAAAGGGATTTAAAAGTGAATCTTTGTCATTCCTGAGTCTACGAACGTCAAATAAAAAGTGAGTAAAGATCAAACCGTCGTCTGTTAGAATATTTCAGCTTTGAGTCTCTGTGGAGCAGTTTTCTGTTTCTGCATCTGACGACGACGAAAAGAAAACAGTTTCAAAATAAAACACACAGAGACCTGGAACGACACGATGATCCACTAAACATCTGTATCCGATCCTGACACGATATTGAATGATTCGATATTATATCGATGGTCGTCGCGTCCCCTGGAAGCAGCCATGTGTGTTCTGACTCCAGATCCACTCGTCTGTTCGTGTTTTCAGGCCGACAGAACCGCGCCGGTGCCGGTTCCTGCACCGAATCTCAAAACGACTGAAGTGTTCACACCGAAAATCAGAGAAGAACGTTCAGGAACCGAAAAGCTGACGACACGGCAGACGTCAGCAGGTTTATCACACGCGAGAAAATAAACAAAGAAGACGAGATGTTCCTCCACAGCAGATGTTTGTCCAGAGTAGATGTATCAGAGCTTGGTGCAGATAATTCCTGATTTGTATGAGTCCAGATGTTCCCTGGTGTTGATGATGATCCATGGTTGTTATTTTCCTCTTTTGTTTGGTCTTGTTTTTATTTAGCGGTGAATCTTCTTCTGTCAGTGACACATCATGATTCACTTAAACAGTTTGAACGCGGCTCGTTCATCGGTGAGAACTTTGGTTCCCCGTGAAACTGGTGCAGGAACCGGAACCAACACCAACACCAACACCTGAACCGTCCTGACTGACCTGAAAACTACTTTTGTAAAGGACACGAAATGAATCCATCTGAACATCTCCTCACATAATCTCCTCTCCTCCTCCTCTCCTCCACACCTGTGTCTTGTGTCTCTTGTTGATCTCCAGTTGGTTTTCTGCAGATTCTCCTGCCTCTGGAACAGCGTCAGTGAGAGACAGACTCACACACCTGGAATATCACCTGGAATATCACCTGGAATATCACCTGGAATATCACCTGGAATATCACCTGAGCTTCTTCGGCAGGCGGCAGTGGTTCAGTCGGTGGAGCATTCGCCCACTGATCTGAAGGTTGGTGGTTCAAATCCCACTCTTGACATAAACATCACAGGTCGAGCGTCAGATCCACTGACCCACAGGTTGAGCTGTTGTGATTCCAGCTCCCACAGATGAAGTGTTGTGTCCTTGGGCAAGACACTTAACCCACCTTGCCCACAGTGTTTGTGTGAATGTGTGAGTGGTTTCTTGTTGTAAAAGTGCTTTGAGTGCCTTGAAGGCTGTAGAAAAATCTGACCATTTACCTTTAACAACACCTGTCGTAACCCTTTAATAACACCTTTAATAACACTTTTAATAACCCTTTGTTAACCCTTTAATGACCCTGTGCTGTGATAAAGCTGAGTCGTTCACGTCACGTCGCAGGAGTTGAAACGTGCCACGTTTTCACTTTCAAACCAATTAATCTGTAAATGAATCAAAACCCTGATGTTAAAATGGATGAAATGTTTGTTGAAAAGCAGAAAGAAGCACGTGACACTGAGGAGTGAAACTGAACCAGCACAAAATCTGCAGAAGAAGAACGATGCTAACTGTACATGCTAACCAAACCTGAGGACTTTACCCCTTTAAACCTCTCAAACTTTACTCTACTGTCTCTACAATGACATGTTCTGAGTTTAAATGATCAGTACGAGTGTTGTCACGTGTTAAATGTGACGCAGAGGGTGAAATATTCATAAAAATCACCTTTTCGTGTTTGGAAGATGGACTCCAGCTGATGCTAACGTTAGCTTAGCCCGCGGAGCTAACGGGGCTAACCGGGGCGCAGTGAACGAACCCGGGTCAAAGTGTCGGTTTGTGGGTGAATCCTCGGGGAGTGTCGGGGTCCCGGGGGCGCAGGGGTGTTCCGCGGGGGCACGGCTCGGTGTAGGCGGCTCCGGGGGCTTTCAGCGGCCGCACGGAGGCTTCATTCTGCGGGGAAAGGAGCGTCCAGAAACGGCAGGTACACGGGGCGCCAGGTCCGCGGACACAAACACGCCAACGGGAACAGAAAACCACACTCAACACTTTTTTTCACGTTAAACCAGAGAGAACATGAAAAACACAGCACATACACCAACTTACAGATGTGATAACTAAACAGAATTAACACAATGTAAGATATAAACACTTAAATCTATCATAAATTGACCTAAACGTAGTGAAATTATCTACCCATGACAAATTCTCTTAAAATAGGGTGACCACATGTTCCTTTTTACCAGTTTTGAGCCTGTGTCCCATGTCCCAGGGGATTTATCTAAAACTACTGATTTGTCACAGTTTTATACAAGAAATGTCCCAGTGTCTCTATTTTGGACCAATCTGATCCTGCCAATAATAAAGAGAAACATAAACTGACATTTGTTGAGATAAAATACAGAAAAGCTGCTTAAAAATGACCAAAACACAAAGAAAATGTGACGACACTGACTCACATTAGAGCTGAGCGTAGAACAATTTTCATTTCACAATTTTATTATTACCAACCACCACAAACTGAGGACGTCCCAGATTTTATTTTGAAAATCTAGTCACTCTAAGATAGAAACGACTTTTATTCTTGTTTAACCAAAAGGAACGTGGAAAATGAAGCACAAACACAAACACCAACTCACAGATGTTAGAATTAAAAATATGCCCAATGTCTTTTCTTTTTTCTTTCAATCACACATGATCATTTTTTTGATTCTAACGTTTATTTAGACTGAACAAGAATACAAAAGCTTCAAAATCCTCTCTGCCAATATGTATAAATAAAAAAAAAACACACAAAATGACCTGATGTATAAAGCTGAGATTATTTTATTTCTTATTTTAATAATTTACCTCTACATTTATATGATTTAGCCTTATATTTGACACTTGTTTCTTGCTATTTTTGCTGCTTATTTAGAATTTATTATTACCATTTACATTTTTTCTCTTTGTTATTATATTATATTGTGATCTGTGAGCTCCTGTGTCTAAATAATTTCACTTGTGGATCAATAAAGTTCGTCAAAGTCTAAGTCTAAAGTCTGTCTTAAGTCTAAGAATCAACAATAATAACTGTAAATATAATAAAAAGTGAATAAAGTGGATTGTTTGTGTCCTTAGTAAATGAAGCAATCACATTGTTCCAGTCCAGTCAAAGTTAAAATCTAAATTATAACTTGAATCTTCCAAAATGTCCGAGTGTTTCTGTGTTTGGAGGCTCAGAGTGGATGTAAAGTGCGGGACCTGGCGCCCCTGCGCTGGTAAACACACTGACGTGGAAAAGCTCTGCGCTCTCAACCCAACGCGGTGACGCGCGCTGACGGACACGCGCGACACACGCGACGCACGCGACGCACACGCAGCTTTTGGGTTTAAATGTACAAAAAAACTGAACATCGGTGCAGATCCAGGGTCGAAGACGCGTCACGTCCCCAGCGTCACGTAAAGCGCGAGAGAAACACGCGTCACGAGCAGATCCACGGTTTGTTTGGGAAAAGGAGGCGGGACACGCGTGGCTGTGACGTCACGAGGTGTTGGTTGATTCGTGAAAAGCGTAAATTCTGTGAGAGCAAAGAAACCGTGTGTCACTCGTTTATTATTATTTTCAATGTAAAACCAAAAATAAGAAAACAAAAATTAATAAATAAAAACACAAAAAAATACTAATAATTGTTTTAGTCCTGGTTTAGTCCTGGTTTAGACCTGGTTTAGTCCTGGTTTAGACCTGGTTTAGTCCTGGTTTAGACCATTATTTGTTTTTTCCATTTTTCATTTAAACAAGTCAGTGAAAAAACAAATCTTTCTGTTTTATCTGTTTGTTTTTTCATTTTGGTTTTGGAAACAAATAATGAAAAGTAATTCTTATTTTTGGTTTTATTTTGAAAAATGACTGAATGAACGACACACAGATTGTAAAACCATAAACAGATCAAAGTGTCGAGAGAATCACAAACTCCAGAGTGAAAACAACTGAAATGAGCCAAAAAACACCATTTACTGATGATATGTTTATATTCTACACAGACAAAAGTGAAGAGTTCAAATTAACTCTGACAGAGTCAGTTTGAACATTTCCTCAGAGTTTCTCTGAGTCACTCTGTTCTAGAGTTAATTTAACATTTCTGTAAAAGTTCATGAAGTAAAACTGGACCAAAGTTCCTGTTTAACCCAAATCCAGAGTTAAATGAAGGTTTAGAGAGTAAACAGATAACACTTTGTAGAGTTATCCTGATTTAACTCAACAACACACAGAGGAGTTTTATTTTCACACTTTATTTGAGTTAATTTAAGATGAAATTCAGAACAAAACTGGTTCAAACTGGTTCTTCTCTGGAGGGAGTTTGAAGTGGAGGAGACAAATTAACCCCAACTCCAACACACATTTAACTCTCAAAGAGTTAAAATCACACTTTTGGTGTTAAAAACAACTCTGAAATATTTTACTCTGATATTTTAACTCTCCAGTTGTTGCTGTGATGTCGTTTCTTCATAATAAACAAACCTGGAGTTGAGTTTTGTTTGGGGAGATCAGATTTTCAAAATCAAAAACTGGAAACTTGATTTCAGAATGAAACAGTGAAACGAGTGATTAAAGATGAAAGGATCGTCACATTTTTAACAAATGTGAGTTTTTGTCTCTTTTCTGTCAGTGAGGGTCACACTGGTCCAAACTAGAAACACCAGAGCTGTTCACTTTAAAAAGAGAATCTGGAGCTTTGGAGACGAGGAAGCACGAAAAGAAAAGACTCAGAGGATGGGAGGGCATCTGACTTACACTCAGAGGATGGGAGGGCATCTGACTTACACTCAAAGAGGGCATCTGACTTCAGAGGATGAGCATCACACTCAGAGGATGGGAGGGCATCTGACTCACACACAGAGGATGGGAGGGCATCTGACTCACACACAGAGGATGGGAGGGCATCTGACTCACACACAGAGGATGGAGGCATCACACACAGAGGATGGGAGGGCATCTGACTCACACTCAGAGGATGGGAGGGCATCTGACTCACACACAGAGGATGGGAGGGCATCTGACTTACACACACAGAGGATGGGAGGGCATCTGACTTACACACAGAGGATGGGAGGGCATCTGACTTACACTCAGAGGATGGGAGGGACTGACTTACACACAGAGGATGGGAGGGCATCTGACTTACACTCAGAGGATGGGAGGGCATCTGACTTACACACAGAGGATGGGAGGGCATCTGACTCACACACAGAGGATGGGAGGGCATCTGACTTACACACAGAGGATGGGAGGGCATCTGACTTACACTCAGAGGATGGGAGGGCATCTGACTTACACACAGAGGATGGGAGGGCATCTGACTCACACACAGAGGATGGGAGGGCATCTGACTCACACTCAGAGGATGGGAGGGCATCTGACTTACACACAGAGGATGGGAGGGCATCTGACTTACACTCAGAGGATGGGAGGCATCTGTCACACTCAGAGGATGGAGGGCATCTGACTACACACAGAGGATGGGAGGGCATCTGACTCAGAGGATCACACACAGAGGATGGAGGCATCTGACACACAGAGGATGGAGGGCATCTGACTACACACAGAGGATGGGAGGGCATCACTCAGAGGATGGGAGGGCATCTGACTCACACACAGAGGATGGGAGGGCATCTGACTTACACACAGAGGATGGGAGGGCATCTGACTTCACACTCAGAGGATGGGAGGGCATCTGACTTACACACAGAGGATGGGAGGGCATCTGACTTACACACAGAGGATGGGAGGGCATCTGACTCACACACAGAGGATGGGAGGGCATCTGACTCACACTCAGAGGATGGGAGGGCATCTGACTCACACTCAGAGGATGGGAGGGCATCTGACTCACACTCAGAGGATGGGAGGGCATCTGACTTACACACAGAGGATGGGAGGGCATCTGACTTACACTCAGAGGATGGGAGGGCATCTGACTCACACACAGAGGATGGGAGGGCATCTGACTTACACACAGAGGATGGGAGGGCATCTGACTTACACTCAGAGGATGGGAGGGCATCTGACTCACACACAGAGGATGGAGCATCTGACTTACACACAGAGGATGGGAGGGCATCTGACTCACACACAGAGGATGGGAGGGCATCTGACTCACACTGTTAGACTGAACAACAAACTGGTGGTGGTTTTACGTTGGCGTTGGGACGATCCACAGACACAGACAAACCTGAGTTTAGAAAAAACCTGCTGAAATCAAAGTGTCGCCGCGTCGTGTTTATCACCTGTGGCTCAGTGGTGCAGTCGCCCCCCAACCACGAGCTCCGTGGTTCTGTGCTTCTGTGGTTCTGTGGTTCTGTGCTTCTGTGCTTCTGTGGTTCTGTGGTTCTGTGGTTCTGTGGTTCTGTGGTTCTGTGCTTCTGTGCTTCTGTGGTTCTGTGGTTCTGTGGTTCTGGTTCTGTGTTCTGTGTTCTGTGTTCTGTGTTCTGTTCTGTGTTCTGTGGTTCTGTGGTTCTGTGCTTCTGTGGTTCTGTGGTTCTGTGGTTCTGTGCTTCTGTGGTTCTGTGGTTCTGTGGTTCTGTGTTCTGTGGTTCTGTGGTTCTGTGGTTCTGTGGTTCTGTGTTCTGTGGTTCTGTGGTTCTGTGTGTGGTTCTGTGGTTCTGTGTTCTGTGGTTCTGTGGTTCTGTGTTCTGGTTCTGTGTGTTCTGTGTTCTGTTCTGTGGTTCTGTGGTTCTGTGCTTCTGTGGTTCTGTGCTTCTGTGGTTCTGTGGTTCTGTGCTTCTGTGCTTCTGTGGTTCTGTTCTGTGCTTCTGTGGTTCTGTGGTTCTGTGCTTCTGTGGTTCTGTGCTTCTGTGGTTCTGTGGTTCTGTGGTTCTGTGGTTCTGTGGTTCTGTGCTTCTGTGGTTCTGTGGTTCTGTGGTTCTGTGGTTCTGTGCTTCTTTGGTCTGAACCTGTCGATACGAGCGGAGACTTTATCAGTGTGAAACTGTTTGAGCAGCTGCAGCGACGACGACGTC